CAGTGTCACTTACGCTGCTGAGACAAATCTAACGACACCATATGTCAACTTCCGAATAGCCGTTCAGGCTGTGGTTGTAGCCCATGAAAAAGAATTTACTTGTCCACATAAATACTCTCGAAAAAACATAACCTTCCTTTTTAGGCAGTCGGGTAAACAGCAAATCCTTGCTTTTAAAATACGAGTAACACAATATTCTAGATAGAAATATCCTCGGACTAACGCTGTAAGCCCCAGGGGTATTCCAGGTCTTTTATTAGTTCTATAATACCTAGACTAGAAGTCCTGAATCAGACCACGTTAGGTTAAGCCCAGGATTTCTGTCCCAGGGGTAGTGAAATGTGCCAATGGAAGAGAAAATTTATTTGTACGTATACCTAGTATAGTATTTTATAACAAAATAACATTAGTAATGGTGTCCTTATTGACAACTGTTACAAATCTGCAAATCATCGTTTCCACTGTCTAATTATCAAAAAACAAAACCCGACTGCGGTAATTTCCAAGTTATTTGGTGTATCATATCCGGCATTTTGAATTTATTAGAATTTAACACAGGTAGCCAGTGTCACTCACGCTGCTGAGGCTGATACCTCATAATGTCAACTTCCGAATAGCCGTAGCCCGTGAAAAATAATTTACTTGTCCACATAGATACTCTCGAAAAACATAACCCTCCTTTTGAGGCAGGCGGGTAAACAGCAAATCCTTGCTTTTAAAATACGAGTAACACAATATTCTAGATAGAAATATCCTCGGACTAACGCTGTAAGCCCTAGGGGTATTCCAGGTCTTTTATTAGCTCTATAAGTTAGAGTATATCTTAGAACTTATAGAGTGCGCCTAGCCATCTATGTACGAGTGGCACAACCATGAACACAACCTCTATGTCGGTCACTAGCAAAACGCCTCTGACAACACAATTAAAGCTCTAGGGCCTTACCACAAAATAGTTAGACCAGTGATGAACGCGTGTCTAAAATAAAACTACATACAAAAAACGCTAGACACGCGTTCAACACTGGTCTAACTTTTTTGTGGTAAGGCCCCTATACTTCACATACTTTTGACGAAGTTATCTATGTAACTATTGGTTACGCTTGATTGTTCGGCGCCGGGCAATACGCGCACTCTAGGTATAGCTTGCTTATTTAAAGTCTAAGGTCTGTAATATCTAGACTAGAAGTCCTGAATCAGACCACGTTAGGTTAAGCTAAGGATTTCTGTCCCCGGGGTAGTGAAAGTGAAAATGGAAGAGAAAATTCATTTGTAGGTATAGTATAGTATTTTATAACAAAATAACATAAGTAATGGTGTCCTTATTGACAGCTGTTAGAAATATGCGAGGCATCGTTTCCACTGTCTAATTATAAAAAAACAAAACCCGACTCCGGTATTTTCACAGTTATTTGGTGTTTTTTATCCGCCATTTTGAATTTATCAGAATTTAATACAGGTAGCCAGTGTCACTCACGCCGCTGAGACAAATCTAACGACACCTCATTATGTCAACTTCAGAATAGCCGTTCAGGCTGTAGCTGTAGCCCGTGAATAAGAATTTACCTGTCCACATAAATACTCTCGAAGAACATAACCCTCCTTTGAGGCAGTCAGGTAATGCTTTTAAAATACAAGTAACACAATATTCTAGATAGAAAAATCCTCGGACTAACGCTCTAAGCCCTAGGGGTATTCCAGGTCTTTTATTAGCTCTATAATATCTAGACTAGAAATCCTGAATCAGACCACGTTAGGTTAAGCTCAGGATTTCTGTCCCTGAGGTGGTGAAAGTGCCAATGACAGAGAAAATATCTATTTTAAAACTAAAAACCATTAGACATTGCGTTATATGGACCACTGGTGCGAATCTGCGAGGCATTGGTACCACAAAATAGAGAATTTACTAGCCAATACTTACTTTGTGTTAGTACCAAGAGTGTCTAACGAAAACTTGAATGTATTACGAGTACGGGTTTCATCCTTTGAGATTATACTGGGTAAAATTTTACTAGTGACCGCTAGCGAAAACTCCGATCCGGCTGGTGATAAGGAACAATTTTCAATTAGGAACATAGGTCGAAATATGAAAAAAAGTGGGAATCCAATACAAAATTGCCCGGTCAGCTGATGTGAGTTACTATGGGGACTGGGGAGGTCCAATTTTTTTTTATATTTCGACCTATGTCCCCAAGAGAAAGTTGTTCCTTATCACCAGCCGGTTCGGAGTTTACACTATAATCAATAGTAAAAATTAACCCTATATTGGCAATTAAGAAATATATTTTTTTAGCTTATCTTAAATTAATGCTGACACTTTTCGTCAAATAGATTACGAAAAGGATAAAAGATACCCAAGTCCTGTCATGTTTGAATATGTCAAAGGGTTTGACGTCATTTCTAGTCAATTTAGTTACCATCGTTTTCAATTTCATCTTATTTTGTGTAACGTCCGCAATCTAAGTAATCGTAAACAGCAACCGGGACCGACGGCCTAACGTGCCCTCCGAAGCACGGAACCATTTTACTTTTCGGACAAGCAAGTAGGCCAGCCTCCCAATGCCCTAACCAGACTGAGAACAAATTCACAAAGTAATGAAATATCAACTTTGTGAGCAACCCACCAGGAATTGAACCCGGAACCATCTGCGTCGCAAAAGTCGCACTACCACTGCGCCACATCGGCCATTAGTTCCTTAATAAAACCCAATTATACTAGATACAATTCTAGTTGAAACATATTTCCGCACTTTGAGCGACATTCACAATCTCTAAGGACTTAATTGAAAACACACTTAATTGAGACGAAATTAAACTGTGTTTTAAGTGTTTAATTACTTACTCGCTTGTCACTCAGAGTTAAGAACCAGTTAAGTCTTTATGCTAAGTTTGAAGATTTAATTTGCTTCCTGGTTGTATGTATGTGTGAATAAATGTGTTATTGCGTGTGTTGCTTGCCTAAAAGCGATAGCTGAAACAAATAAAATGTAGGTACGCTGTATTATACTGCATTCAAAACCCAACCAACAAGCTAATTAATATTCAGAGCACAATTAATAATTATACCCCGGAGAGTAAAATTAATGTGATTTTAAGTTTAACCAAATTTATTAATTATTTCATTAACATCTAACCTCATGAGAGCTGTAGTTAGGTCTCTTGAGGATAATAATGCACGCTTTGCATCGAAGTAATAATTATTTATTAATAGGGATTATTTGCCGTGTATAATTCTGGCTTATATGTATTAGCATCACATAAGTAGAGATGATGTGAGTTATTGAAATTTTCAGTGACAGGCTGACTATCTGTCTCTTCTTAAACAAACACTAAGGCATACCTCTATTACTAATTTCTTCAAAAAACAAGAATTATGCTACCGAAAAAAAAAACTTATAAAAAAATGGACTTGGACAAAATGAACAGTGCGCGCAGGTGGTTAATTCCGATAACGAGGCCCTTCCATTACGGTTCGCAAGATGTGTGGTATCCTTAGAGTATATCGGGTGAAATTTTACTAGTGACCGATAGCGAAACCTCAGAACTAGCTGGTGATAAGGAACAACTTTCCCCAAGGAACATAGGTCGAAACATGAAAAAAAAATCAAAAATCAAAATCAAAATCAAAACAGAAAAAGATTGGACCTCCCATACAAAATTGCCGATCAGCTGATTTGAGTTACTAAGGAAGGTCCAAAAACTTTTTTCATATTTCGACCTATGTTCCTTGGGGAAAGTTGTTCCTTATCACCAGCCGGTTCTGAGTTTTCGCTATCGGTCACTAGTAAAAATTCACCCTATATATAAGCAAGCTATAGAGTGTGCATATCAGCCTGTACTGTCAAAGCGTAAGCAGTTGCTCCCTAGATGCAGATGTCAAATGTATGAGATGTTATAGAGGTTCAATAGTGTTGTCACTGGCGTTTTGCTACTGACTGACAGAGAAGTTGTGCCCAGCTTACTGCCAACAGTTCTAACTTTTTAGGCGCACTCTATAGCTTGCTTATATATACTCTAAGGTGGTATCCAAGCGAGAGTGGATAACCGATGAACCGTGACGACCCTTCGCCGTTTCCTTGAGAGAAAATGAACATTACCCACTTGATGTTAGAAAAAATGTTCCTACCTACGTTCGACAGCAAAGGTTCGAGCTCGTTAAAAGTTAAAACACCTCCCCATTCGGGGTACTGCCCTGATCGCTCAAAAATTAATATAAAGAGGAAAACGTGACCTCACCATTTAAAAATTGGTAACTCGATGACAACATAATTTATAGAAAATTCGCAGGTCGAGATTGAAGTATCTTCCTATCCTTTATTCAAATCAGTTGCAATCGGCGCAACATGTTTTGTTAGCGCAAACATCATAAGGCAAAAGAATTTGGCAATATTTTATGACCAGCCTCCTGCCTGACTTCAGTCCACTTTGTGAATGCTGTTGTAGGTGGTATCACCGCTACCATGCGGTTGACCATAGTCGACAGATATTCAGCCAAGAACTATACGTCGCCTTTTACGAAACACCCTGAGTGGCCTAGGGTGGCAGTACTGCCAGCCGATACGGTTTAAAACCGCAAACTTAGATTACTCATATCCTGTACAAAACAAAACTTATCTCCTAAAACTCGTTTTCACTACGAAAAGCTAGTTCGCCCTAAGCCTAAGCCTTTTAATATTAAACTCTACCCTCAGAATATAAATTAACAAAATTAACTCTACTACGCTACCGCAGAATACGTTCCGTACGTATTTATTATTTACCTTACCTCTTTCTTTTCGTGTGGGACACCGAGTCGTTCAACGAACCGATGAACCCTGGTGTCAGTTTTTCAACCGCTTACTACAAGGAATAGGCCTCCGACTTAGTTGTGTTACGACCATGGTGGTCACTCAGTAATCAATCATAGATAGCAACCGAGACATTTTTTCAAGGAACATATTTTTCGGATCAGGTAGTTCATGTTCTAGACAGACTGGGAACAAATTCACAAAGTGATAAATTGTGAGTGACCCACCGAGATTCGAACCCGGGACCTTCTGCGTCGCAGGCAGTCGCGCTACCACCGCGCCACACCAGCTATCGTATAAATTAACCAAATTAACCGTCTACTACGTTACCGCACAATGCGAGGTTCCGTACGTATCTATTATTCAGCTTACCTGAAACGAAAATAACGAAATTAAATTAACAATGTAATAACAACACTAGCGCATTGCAAATTCCGGCGGAATTTCCCGAGGGTACATCCCGGGGTAGGCCCTTGTGCACAGATAGGGTGGTTATTTTTTGGTGGACTGCCTATTTTATACCCGAATGCCTCAGAACGAGGGTTATGTTTAGCGAGAGTACCTATGTATATATGTGGACAAGATATTATATTTTTCACATGCTACAACCTAAACTAGGCAAAGCATACTTGCACTAAGTTTTCACCACTTTGATTAAAATATGCTAGGACAAGTTGAACGCAGTCCTAGTCCACTTTGATGGGATTTCAAGTGCGCTTTGACGAGTGTTGCTATGATCAAATTAGGCCGTCAATTCTATTTGGTCCAAGTATACTTGGATAGTGGCAACCCGGCTTAACAAATAAAGAAGTAAAGTGTACACAGGCTTGTGAGTGCCAGTAATCCTAGCGTACCCGAGTTAAAACCTTCCGACCGGATGAAACCGGACAGAGGTCGAAAAGCATTCTTTATTCAAGTTAGGGCCCTTTTCCTGTCATGCGTATTTTCGCACGCGCGCGGATCTGGTCCGCATGCGGATGATAGCACGCTCCTGGTCACACGCAGGACAGGGATTTCGTTTGCGTCAATCCGCGTTCCGCGCGCGTGCTAGCCGCATGATAGGAAAAACATGTATAAGATGCGTGCGGCCCGCATGCGGACCAGATCCGCGCGCGTGCGAAAATACGCATGACAGGAAAAGGGCCCTTACGGGTTATTTAAAAATAGTGTAAGTTCGCATTACTTAAGGGTCTAACATACAAAGATTCAAGATTCAAAACTTTCATTTCAACGTAGATTCACAAATAATGCTTTTGGAACGTCAATTACATAATTTTTTACATTTACATACAATTACAAATATTCTATAGTCGCTTATTTTTTTGTATAATTGTGTTAAGTGTGACAAGCAGTGGTCACCGAGTAGCGAAACAAGTAAAGAAGTAAATGTACCCACAGACTCGCGAGTGCCTGTAATCCTAGCGTATCCGAGTTAAAACCTTCCGGTCGGATGAAATCGGACTGAGGTCAAAAACCATTCTTTATTCAGTTTACGGGTTATTTAACAAATTAAAACAAATAAAAAATTTGAAACGACAGTTTACTGCAGCACTTTTTGGCAAGTTGTTCGAATAATATCTAAGATCTAAGAATATGCACTAATGAATTCCTATTCCATCACTGAAAACCGCTTCAAAATACGAACAGTGGTTTTGGAGATACTTGGCAACATCATCATTGGCCTCATACGTCTGTGACAGACGATTTATTCAGTGTCTGAGGCAAGATTTTTCATGGTTTGCACAAACACACACACAAACATTCTCTCACCCCAAACGCATATACCGTCTCTGTTCCGTCATAAGAATTTATACATTAGTCCGTCGGTAAAAATAGTGAACAGCGGTCATCCAGAAGCGAAACAAATAAAGAAATAAAGTGTACACAGGCTTGCGAGTGCCTGTAATCCTAGCGTACCCGAGTTAAAATCTTCCGTTCGGATGAAACCGGACAGAGATCAAAAACCATTCTCTATTCAAGTTGTGAGTAACTTAAAAAAAATAGTGTAGGTTTTCCTGGCACAGTCTAATCAGTCCGGAACGGCTGGCATAACTTGAAGGCCATTATTTCCAAGTAGATTCACAAATAATGCTTTTAGAATGTCAATTACATCAATTTTTACATTTACTTACAATTATAAAAATTCTGTAGTCGCTCATTTTTTTATAATTGTGTTAAGTGTGATCAGCAGTGGTCATCGAGGAGCGAAATAAAAAAAAGTAAAGTGTACAGAGTCTTGCGAGTGCCTGTAATCCTAGCGTCGGTCGGATGAAATCGGACAGAGGTCAAAAAGAATTTAGGGTTATATAAAATTAGTTCTTCCTGGCACAGTCTAGTTAGTTCGGAACGGATGTCGTTAATTAAGGGCCTGACTTAGGGTTATTTAAATATCGTGAAGAGCCCATCGTAATATGAATAAAAGTTTTCGAACCTATCATAATATCCTTAAAAACATCATATTAGTCTTACATTGGCCAATGAAGTACTGTCTAGGGTATCCTGTCACAGCCTATTAAATTTGAAATAATATTGAAGATACCACTGCATTGTAGCAATATGCTACGACTGCAACCGTAGCTAAAGGCTACGAGTTAAAAAAATATTTTTATAAGTATTTTAAATACAAGATATTCTACCATAACTTTTTTTCCCATATAAGTTAATTAATGTAAAAAGTTGTTGTAAACTTGGACTGAATTACATGGTCTCTTGACTCTCGAAAACTCTCCTCATAAGGTAAAAAAGTTAAGGAAACGTCCTTTTTGTTGATTCCTCGTCCACGTATTTATGAGATTAACAGGAAAAATAACAATAATTGGCCATACCATAAAAGTTAGACAAGTGTTGAACGCGTGTTTAAAATAAAACTTCATACAAACAGAAAATGCTAGACTTGTTCAATGCTCGTCTAACTTTTTATGGTAAGGCCCAATGTGTTTAACATTTGAAATAAAAAACATAGTTTTATAAATATATGCACATGTCCAGAAGTGCGCTTTAATTTGATGCATGTATGTAATTGAGAATCTGTAAAAATGATCATCGACTACAAATTGATCGAGTTTCATAGATATCAAATACCTTTAAACGAGCAAGAACATTTATATAATTGGGATCTCGGAAACGGCTCCAACGATTTTCACAAAATTTCGTAAATAGCAGTTTTCGGGGACGACAAAGCGACCTAGATAGGTATATTATTCCAAAAATCGTAGCTTCATATTGCGTGTTTTTTGTAAACTCGCAACGCCACCACTAGGCTGACCCCACTATTGTTTCAAAGTTTAGTATAGTAAGTATATAGATTATCCATCGTGCTACTCATACTCTCTAATATTTTCCGCATATAAAATTACTCGCAAACATAAATGGTTTAATATAAAAACGCGGCAACTTCTGCGTATGACGCTAACGAGCGAGCTTTTTTTCTACTTTTTTCCACCCTGTATAGAAAGTACGTGAGATGAAACTGCAGAGTTTTATTTTTTCCATCCTGTATAAAGTAGGTGAGGTATACATGGTGATTTTAATGTACTTAGTAGTTGAACGCTCCTTGGTACATGTGTACGTAGGTATAATAGGAGACTTAAGGTAACGTTACAGAAGTTAGATATGCTACACCTTAGTATCTACTCATCATCTTCCTGCCCTTAACTCAAATCAGTTGTGGTCGGCGCAACATGTTTTTTGGAACACAAAATCATGTAACAAAAGGATTTGGCTGTGTTTTATGACCGGCAGCCTGCCTATCAACCTCATTGAGAATGCTATTGTAGCAGGTATCACCGCCACCATGCGGTTGACCATAATTCAGCTGAGGTAAAAAAATCTACGTTGCCTTTTACGAAACACCATCATGAGTGAACTAGGGGTGGCAGTATTCTTAGCCGCTACCACACAATCAGTATGCTATAGTACTATTATACCTCTAGTATTATCTGCTTGTGATGTGAACTTAGGTAAGGTTTTGAGGCAATAATGCACTCGGGTAAAAAAAAAAACATTTTTATTAATATTTTAACTCAAATGTCGATGAATGATACAGAAATTCAACATTTATAGATACTCTTTCAAAATTGTTTCTAAAATCTAAGTTAACAAAAACGTTTTTCACCCAAACTTCCACATAACTCATCTACACCTCGCTAAGTACTGTTCATAATTCATACTGTTCAGAAGATTAAATAATACATAAACAATTTTTCGCGCGCGTTGCCATGCCAACTGATAACTAGAGCGTGTAAAACCGGAAGGTTTCAAAACCGGTTTTGATATTTCCGATATTGGAGCTCTGTTCCGGATTTCCGGTTTTGGTAAATTTTCAGAAACATAAAAGCCATACATACATACTTCACACGTTTTTTTTCCGAGAGGTAGGCAGAGACTGCATAAATTTACACTTATATTTTGTTTATTACTTTAGACTCTAAGTTTAGAGTAATCCTGGGGGCCTTGAAACAAATTACGAGACAAAATTCATACCAAGGGGGGGTCGATGTGGTAGCAAAGTAAATACATTATTTACAATGGTTAAAACCCGCCTATAAAAAACAATATCCAGAAACTACAAAAACATCTTGTTTTTCCAAAAACGCTTTTACCGATTAAGAATCTCTGAAAACCGGAATCCAAATATTGCTAAAAACGGTATATTCCGGATTCCATCCCCTACTGATAACCAGACTAAGTGAAATGGTCCCGAGAGATTAAACAGGGTACCGTGTTATGAATAACAATGCCTTTCGGCCGGGTAATTTGTGAGGCTAGCACGATATTATTTTGGGAGGGAGGATATGTAATAAATAGGATAGTAGAACCACGTAGAGTAAAGCATTACCCGACGGGTAGTTACAAAAAGGGTATAAACAAACCGAAAGGCGTTCAACTGAACTATTTTTCTCATAAAACATGTGTCAAAATATAACAAAAAACAACAGGCTAATTTGTATGAACCGCCATTTTTTGCAGGAAAGACTGTTATACATATAAGGTTTATATTATAACATATTTTAATCAATCTACGAATTTTCTGCGTCGTTCGAGCACTTTTAGTCTCGTTTAATATTATGTTTACTTTTTGGCCGTGTTTACTTTTTAAAAATTGGCCGTGTGGTGCCGGCAGAATAAAATTGGCCGTGTGGTGCCGGCAGAATAGAAATTGGCCGCGTGGTGCCGGCAGAATAGAATAGCACCACCCCCTCTCTTCCCGTGGGGGTCGTAAGAGGCGGCCGAGGGATAAACATGACCCAAACAGCCAGGGACAACCGTATGGTGGCGGTTAATCCAC